TGATCACTGTCGCCCAGGTGGTCGAGAACCTGGAGTCCCCTCACCAGGTCATCGCCCGTGGCCAGGACCGGGTCCAGCAGGGCATTCCCCCTGGTGGGACTAAGCACCTCCTGGTTTAAGTGGAAGCCCTGTATCTCAGCAAGGAACCTTTGTGAGTGGTCAGACCTGGCTGACTGCTCCTCCCAGCAGATGTCCGGGTAATTTAAATCACCCATGATGACTACATCCCTTGCCTTAACTGCCTCCTCAAGCTGACCTGAGAATTCACAGTCCAGCTCTTCCCCTTGGTTGGGTGGTCTGTAGTAGACCCCCACCATTAAGTCCCTTTCCCCACGACCCCCCTGTATTCTGACCCAGAGCACTTCACCCTGCCCCTTCTCTGACCCCATCCTGTTAGTTGAGGACATGTATTGCTCTTTGATGTAGAGTGCCACACCCCAACCTTTCCTCCCTGTTCTATCCCGCCTGTATAGTCTGTAGCCCCTAATGTTTACCACCCAGTCATGGGATGAATCCCACCAGGTTTCTGTGAACCCCACTATGTCTGGGTTTGTAGTAGCTCTTGGGAGGGCGAGTTCCTCCTGCTTATTCCCCATGCTATGAACATTAGTGTAGAGGCATTTAAGGCCTTGTATTGGTGCATGCCCCCCCCGCCCCCCAATTCTTAGGACTATCCGGACCCATGTCACTTACCTGGGTATTCCTTGTTCACATTACCTGTCTTGGCTGGGAGGTGTCCTCATGTCCCCCTGTGGCCCCCATCCCCCGGCAAAGCTAGTTGAAAGCATGCCATACGAGATCAGACAACCTGGAAGAAAAGACACGCTTGCCTTTAGGGAAGAGATGTAGCCCATCCCTCCCAAGAATGCCCCTTGCGTGAAAGTGTGGGTCGTTGTCCAGGAACCTGAGGCCTGCCAGTTAACCTTGCTGATGCAGGCCTTGTGTCGCCGTCTGTGTCTACTTACCGGGAGAATAGAGGAGAATACCACCTTTGCCCCTGTCTCCTTGAGTTTGGCCCCCCAAGGCCTCAAAGTCCTTCATGATGCGGTCTGGGCTGCCCCTGGTTGCGTCATTTGTTCCCACATGGATAAGGACCATGGGGTACTGGTCTGAGGGTTGACTGTAGGCCGGGATCCTCTCTGTGTTATCCTGAATCTGAGCCCCAGGCATGTAGTAGACCTTGTGTGCCATGGGGTCAGGTAGACAGATGGGACCCTCCATTCCCTTTAGGATGGAATACCCGATGACGAGGACCCAGCATTTCTTCCTCCTGGTGTTCCCTCTCTGCGCCATCTGTGTTGTGCATGGAGTGGCACTGTCCCCACTGGAGGCATCCCCTTCGTCCTCTTCCTCCAAGGCTGCCAGGGCCTTGTATCTGTTCCCGAGCTGTACCTGGGGAGCCACCACCATGCTAGCCTGAGCAGCCCTAGGCCTGGTGGGTACCTTCTGCCACTCCTCTGTTGTGCGTCTCTCCTGGAGGATCTGTACACTGGACGACTGGTCCTGCAGTGAACGGAAATAGGTGTCAATTTTGTCCTCTGCAGCCCTGATCCCCTGCAGCCTGCTCACCTCAGCCTGGAGCTCCCTCACCTGCTCCTCCAGGGCCCTAAGTCAGGCACAGGAGGGACAGGCAATTCCATCACTGCTGTGGAACTGTCATTTAGCCTTCTCAGTAGTAACTGTCCCTCCCATTAGAACTAATAGCCTTGTACTTCCTGCCACACTTATCTATAAAGACAGCATTACTAGTAGCCATCAGGTCAGCCAGACAGATGGGGCGATCCATGCCCCTACGGCAGGTAACCCACCTTACATAATTTGTCACAAGCATATAGCATCTTTATGGACGGAACCAATGGATTCAACTTCCCATACTCGTCTTGAAACCATGTGCCCGCAACCAAGATGTTTTGCTACCCTTTGTATCTAAGACATGCCCTGCACTTTTACTTACATAAGACAAATGCTTGAGGTCCTCTTCTGCCCTAGTTCTAGCCATAGCAGAGAGAATGACAATTTCTACCCAACAGCTCTCCAAGTGGACATTGGGCTGTGTAATCATCAACACACATTACGCCAGAGCTGATAAGCATCCTCCACTGTGCTGAGGGATATATTTGTCTAGTACTTAACCACTTACGTAGTTGGAAAGTTCTTCCTCATATCCACCCTAACTATTTCTTGTTGCAGTTTTAGGCGATTACTTCTTGTCCTGTCTCCTCTGGACATAGAAAATAATTGATCACCATAATTTTATAACAAGCATTTTTGTATTTGAAGACTGTTACCAAAACCTCCTGCAGCCTTTTCTTTTCTGTCATTCTCTGCTGAACTCTTTCCAATTTGTCTGTGTCTTTCTTGAAGTGCAGTGCACCTGACTGTACTCCAGGTCGTTCCCCACTGATGCTGAATAAAATGAGAGAATCACTTCTCATTACTTGCATACGCTACTCCATCCACAGTTTTCTACAGTACATTCTTAGATATTTGAACCCCTTTGAAAACCAGCTGCTGGAAGGCCTTCAGATAGCTGAATTGGTTTGGATATGTGAAACAGTTACAAGTTGTTATATCAAATTTAAGAGTAGAGATACAATGTTGTATTAAAGCTTGAAAGAGACCAGCATACAACACCAACAGTTACAAGTACTGTGTCAAATTTAAAAGTAGAGGTGCAGGGGTGTAGGTTGTGCAACACTTTTAAATAAAAAGAGACCAGATTGTTACACAGTACTAACAGTCACAAGATAGTAAAAACAATGTTGCCATCCAGATAAGCAAGGTTCAAATAACTAAGGATATACTGTATTACATGTTTCTGCAATAACATTACCACAAGCTGAATGTGAGTCAGTAATGTAGAGCAGTGGTTCCCAACCATGTTAGACCATGGACCAGAAGTGACCATGGACCGGCAAACTGCAGACCAGCATACTGCAGTCCAGAAGTGACCAGCATAGTGTGGACCAGCAGCCAACCCTTTTTTATACTGAGTATTCATACTGAGTATAAAAAAGAGTTGGCTGCCAGTCCGCAGTATGCTGGTCACTTCTGACCTTCCAGTCCAGCAGCCAACCCTTTGCAGCCCAGTACCAGGCCGTAGCTCGGGGGTTGGGAACCTCGTACTGCAGCCTACCCAGTCGTTCTCCATTTTCATTATAGTTGCATCATCCTGCTTCTTTCTGAATACAGAACAGAAAAAATATTAAATTCTCCCTCTAGTATATCATATTTGACAAACGTACCATCTTCCACAAGTATTAGGCCTAAACTATTGCTACTGAATTATTTGAATCTGTCAGTAGAATGGTGCATAAAGGAAAAAACAATTTATATTTATTTAGACTTCCAAACAGCCTGTGATAATGTGTCTTATAGGAGGCTACTGAAGAATCATGAGGTTAGAGGTGAAACATGATTGTGGATCAGAACTGGTTAGGGGAAAGAAACAAATAGGAATAAAGAGTCAACTTTCATCATGGCAAAATGTTAACAGCAGGTATCTTAAGATTTCATACTAGGATTTGTGCTTTATATACTCATTATTGTTCTGGGGAGAGTGAGCTGTACAATAGCTGTGCAATAGTAATTGGATTAGTCAAAACTAAAGAGGACTATAAGATACTTCAAAGGGACATAAACTATGTGAATGGGCAATATGACAGTAAATGAAGTTTGTGGTCAATAAATGCAAGGTGACGCACATTAGAGGGAACAGTCTGAAATCTCCATGGATCCCCAGAGTTCCAAAATAACCATATTAGCTTTAGAAAGGGGCCTCTATTTGTGGAGAGCTCAGCAATGACCTGAGCTCAATACACAGCGCAGTCAAGAATGCAAAACAGATATTTGTATCCATGAGGAATGCAATGAAGTATAGCACAAAAAAATGTATAATGCTTTTTATGTAGAGAAAGAAAATTGCAACCTTATCTGGAACACTCTGCTGTACTATACCATATCTCAAAAAGGAGATTGCAGAATTAGAAGAGCAGCCAGTGCTTAGGATCCTGGGAAGTGTTCACATGAAGAGTTTGAAAAGGTTGGGATTGTTTTATTTTAGAAGAGGACTAGAAGCTCTTTGAAGCTGTGTATGAATTAATGGCCAGTCTAGAGAAGGGAGGGTAGGAACTTCTGTTCTCTCTGTCTCATAACACAAAAACAAGAGGACACTCAATTAAAGTAAAAGATGGGATGCATGAACCGGATGAAAGGAAACACTTTTCCACACAATTCTGATATAATAAAGGGCTTAGTCTGTCTGTCTGTCTGCCTGTCCATCATGCTCTGCGAAGCACTAAACAACCAGAGTGCTCCACAGAGACAGACAGAGGTGGCAGTGGTGGCAGAGCGCCGCCATGATGGCGGGGACAGACGGGAAGGAGCAGGGGGGCGAGGTCAGTGGAGCTGGCCTTGCCTCCGGCCCTGCTCCTGGGAGGCAGTGGCAGCCTGGGGTGGTGGCTCCACCTCAGTGGACCAGCCAGGCGGATGCAGAGCAGGCAGGGATGGGGAGGGTGGCACGGGGCTGGACGCAGAGTTGGAGGGAGGAGTGAGGGGAGGTGCAGGGCTGGATGCGAAGCGCGGGGGTGGGGGTCGGGGGTGTGCAGCTGGACACGGCAGGGCAGTGGGTGGCGGAGGGGCTGGCTGAGGCATGAGGATGCCAACAGTGTGGAACCATGTGGCTAGGCAACAGGCAGGAGTCTGGCCTCCTGCTGACTGGGCTGAGCAGGTGATCAACATATCTATACATGCATTTAATCACAGTAAATTTCTCCTCTTTAAGAAAGTACTGTCACAGTACTATCTTAAAGCAGCATAAATTAGTTTACTGAAGCCTAATTGCATTGCACATGTAGACTCTGCAGCTAATTAGTCTACTCCACAGTAAAATGTACATGTAGACACAGCCAGTGCTGAACTATGTAGTACAATGGATGCTTTCCTGCAAGGAGACTGTGATACAGCTGTGTTCACTGGTCGTCGTGGTATTGTTGTTACAGGAAAATGTGAGTCTGATTAAGGAAATTAATGAACTACGAAGAGAACTGAAGGTGACCCGCACCCAGGTACATGACCTCCAGTCAGCACTTGGACTAACCAGGAAAAAACAAGGGATCTCAAATACAGGTGACTCAGTGGTTCTTCCTGTATCTCTGCATATTACCAGCTCTCATCTCAAAACCACTCTTCTGCCTCTGTCAGCACTTCTGAATTTCTCTCCTTTTGGCTCTTGCATATTCTTGAATGCTAACGTGGTCTGGAAAGTGCTGTTTGTTATAGTTATGCTGTAAGCTGTACAATTTTGTTACTAAGCACTTCTGAGCTGTTTGCTTTAGCCCCTTCTCTCCAGTCCCAAGAGATATGTGTCCCAGCTTTTTCCCGGAGTACACAGAGACCTCATCTTCATGCCTTTGGGCCACATTTTTCTCTTCTAGTTCCATCTGGTGAATTGCTGCCCAGTCCAGGTGTGCTGAGGCTGAATCTGGAGAAGGAAACAGAGAAAATCATAAAAATGCAGCAGCTGGAAATCAAACGCCTTCAAGACCAAATCCAAGGGCAGGAACAAGGCTTTGTGGTTCGCCCTCTCTCAGGTCGGAGGCTTCCCACACTGGAGACAGAGAGCGAGGAGCTACCGCCACAATGACCTGACCTAATGGAACCTTGCACCATTGCAGTCTTTCACTGGATACGCTCTGCAACACAGACTGGACTTCTCTAGTCTTCTCTGTCTTGTCTGAGCAAAAACCTCCCTCACTCAATCCTCATGATGAAATCTCCCACATGCACCCTGTATGTTGGAGCTGGCCTCCTCAATAAAGACCTACCAATCTCCTAAAAATGCATGTGCTTGATATCCCTTCTATAGGAGGGGGGGGGAACAGAACAATGCAAATGCAGACAAATCTGTCTGTCATCTTCCTGCAAGATGTGCAGGTCTCTGGAGGAACTGGAGGGCACTGGAGAATCAGAGGTCCCAAGTATTTAAACACCATCAGGTGAAGTGGTAGGATTCACGGTTGGCCCCTGCCAGTACCCACGTGATCCACAAGAACAAGATGTGGGAAAAGGAACAGCAAAACGTGCCTCAAGCACTGATCCAAACCATTAGTTAAAATCTGTTGCCCAGCCATAGTGACTTTATCAAGCATCCAGCAAAACTGACCCAGAGCCTTGTAGGCTAGTATCCAGGTATGTCAGCTCGCTCACTGCAGTGCTACAAATTCTGTGGCTAAGGCCTCATGCCTTTTCTCTCCTAATCTGTCTCCCAGCTCTCTCAGTGCCTTCCTCCCAACACCTGGAACCCTGTTCTGTTCCATTGCTTGTTCCAGGTCTCCTAAATGTCACTTCATAGTGTAACCCCATCTTTTACAAAATGCTGTCATACCCTACCTCTGAATAAAAAAGAAACTGGCCTTCTGCATTCTCGACTATTGGTGCATTCTGTCTCTCGCTGGCTTTACCTGCCCTAGTGGAGCTGTGTACATGTATTCAGCAATTGATAAGCATTTTAGTACAATTCTGGGCACAGGGTTACAGGAGTTCTAGGTGTTCTAGGAATGCACCTGCCTTGGTATTTGGGGCCTATTCAGTGTCTGGTAAGTCAGTAAGTTGTGTTGTCACTTCCTATACATGCTTCAAGGATTTTTCTGGTTCCCTTTAGAGACCAAAAAAGAACACACATGTATGCACATGCAAATATTATTAGCTCTTGGGGAGGGGTTAAATTTTATTTCTGTTCCTCCTTTTTCTGAAGTGCTGGGAAATTAACTGCTATTAAGACTGGTGTGCAGAAGAACTCAGAGGTCTTCCTCTTTTGCTCCGGATCATGCTGATTGCCATTTTTGGGTTCAGGAAGGAATTTTTCCCTTAGGCTAGGACAGCAAGAGGTATATGGTTTTTTGCCTTCCTCTATAACATGGGGTACTGTCATCTTCCTAAGATCCTCTGAACATATATTAACCGACAACTTCATTGCAGTGGCAAGTCATTAGTCTTCATTTCCCCGGACTTTGCCTTTGGCCTGTTGTAAGGTTTTTGGTTATGTGCATGGTTGTTGTGTGCACAAGTTTAAAGTCGTGATTTTTAGGAATCTTTGGATGATCAGTGGTGCAAACAGGGCACTGATTCAACAGGCCAAGGGGCCCCGTCCAGTTCTGTGATCCATGTTAAAAGTGACAGATGCCTCCTAAATACCTGTAACAGTAGTTACAGCCTCCCTCAAGAAGGAGCATGGCATCCAAACTGAATGACTTAAGTCATGCTGCCATTCTGGGTACTAAAGCCCCTACCAGATCAATACCCTTGTAGAAGTTGATAGCATCAGTAGTTCCTTTCAGTGCAGTGGGGGAACATTTGCTGTTACTGTGCAAAACAGTAATTTGGCAGGTGCTGAAGGAAGAAATTAGGCAGGCAAAGCTTTTTGATTAGATGTGATATCTTTTATTAGACCGACTGAGTAGTTGGGGGAAAGTTCTTAGCAAGCTTCCGGGTGCAATTACCCTTCTTCAGGCACAGTGAGACTTCCTATGCCTAAAGAAGGGTGATTGCAGCCAAAAGCTCGCTAAGAACTTTTTTCCAACTACTCAGTTGGTCTAATAAAAGATATCAAACCTTGCCTGGCTGTATCCTAGCTTAGACCAACATGGCTACAACCAAAAACCCAGCAGAAGGAAGAGATTAACATGCAAGCGAGTTTGTTGCGTTGCTGCCTTCCTCACCCAGTGTCATCACCCTGAAGCAGCCCGCACCGGAAGGGGATGTGATTAACCTGAGTCATGTGCTGTAGGAATCAGCTTCTTCCTGTTTTCATTTTGTCCTGTCTTTGTCTGATCTAGGAGGAGGGATGCAAATTGCCCTGTGATGGAGCTTGTTTTAGAGGAATGGATGGAAATCCCTATCAATCCTTCTCCCCCGTATCCCTAGAAGGGCTGTCAGCTGTGCCTACACTCGGTAGATCACTCCCCTTCAGACACCCAAGGACTCTAATGGGAGGCATATCTGCTCAGCACACCTGGCTCTGCTTTCTTCCTCTCCCCTGCCAGGAGCTCCACCCCTCCCTGCTTCCCCCCTTCCTCTCAGGCAAGGCTCTTTCTGTCCTACAAGCCTCGTTCCTCACTGAACAGCCTGAGCGGTCCCACGCTGTCCACTGGTGCCACCTCAGCACTGAGTCCGCTAGGTCTGGGGCCAGAGGTCCCGCTCCCTAGTGCAGAGGTGGTACAGGCCAGCTGCCCAGATGAGTCATTCTCTGCAATGGAAAAGGGCAGGCTGCCCTCAGCACTGTCTGTAGGCCGAGGAGGCCAGTTCTGGAGACATTGATGTTTTTGGTTCAATCCCTGGCATAAAGGTTTATTTATTAAATGTCCCATATTGTCTGATATCTGTTGAACTCTCTTAATCCCCCTTGGCTGTACCTACGTGGCTGGGAGCCTCATCCCACCTGCTCACCTATCCCAAGCATCTCCCAGGGTCTAATTCCTCTTCGTTTGTTCCCGGGAGGAAATTAAACACCTAGAAGCTGGGAGAGACCTGCCACTCTGCCCTGCAGGGGTGTGGTGACACCCATGCACACAGTAACTGCCCTGGAATCTCTCCAGCGACAGCAGCCAGCAGGAGCGGACACCTCCCTCCTGGGGAATGCACCTGCCTTGAGAGGGTCGGACTTTCCACAGCTTATCAGGAGCGACAGCCAGCCTGGGACAGCCCAAGGAAGAAGGAGAGCAAGCAGCTGCACCTGTTGCTTGGCAGGTGGATGTTGTGGGAAGGGAAGAGGCTGGGTCTTACCCTGGGGCCTTCTCCCAGGAGCTGCTCTATCACCAATCCTGGAAGCAGAGTGTGGGAAGAACACTGCCAGCTGAGAACCACAGCAGGGGAGGAGAGCTGTGTGCCGTCCCTGGTGCCGCCCTCCGCAGCTGTAGGTGAGTGGAACGGGTTTCTGCAGAACAACCACCTGCCCTCAGTGTGCCGGGTGCATCAGCCTCACAGGCTGCAGTCCTCCCACCTGGGGCATGGTTGGCTACTCCATGAAAACACCCCAAAGTGAGTGTGTGGTCATGGCCTTCCCACCCGCTCTTTCCTCCCCCGCTTCTCCCTCCCTCCACATGCACAGGCCTTTTTGCATGTCACATTAGCTGCCCAAAGCTGCTTGTTCTTTCTGGATTCCCAGCTGTCTTTCAGTATGGGTTACACTGGGACAGGTACCATAGCGCCATGGAGATGGGAGTCTATACAAGTACCTAGAGAGGGAAGGATGGTAAGCTGCCTCAATTAAGTGAACCAAATCCATCCGCTTTACTATAGAAAGCATCAGTAGACAGTGAGCCTCATTACCATCACCCCTGTCCAGGAGTCCTCTGGACATGGCTGGTCCCCCTCAAAAGTGAGGTGGTTGTTCAGGGCAGAGTCTTGGCAGCCCCATTTCCATGTGTACCCTGGCCAGACCTGAGCAAGATGCAAAAATGGCCAGGGTCCGGGAGGAGAAATGCCATGGAGGAGGATGCTGAGCCGATCAGCTGTGTGGCTACAACAGGTGCTATTTCCAGCTGCTCAGAAAGCACCAAGACTTGGCAGAGTTGGTGCTTCCTGCTATAAAACAGAAGCATTTGCCTGCACTTCTCTGGAATCTGGGGCTGGACCCACCTGCTGAGGGCATATGGCTTGTATGAGCTGGTGCTGGATATGCCCTAACAGCCCCAGGATGTTCTCATTCCCTGTTGGTTATTTGAAAACACATCTGAGACATGCCAAAGCCAGAAGCAACTTTGGTGATGCCCCCAGGTGGCCTCCCTGGCACAACAGCTGACAGCACCACCAAACGTTGTCCAGGTCCACACTGCTGGGAGACTTTGGTAGTACCTCCACAATGGACAGAGCCATGGACAGCCCCTGAGCTAGTACCCCTCTCAGCAGGGGCCACAGCCCTGCAGGTCCCTGCCCCACACGTGAGGGCAGGATGTATTAATCAGGTTGTGAGCCAAGCACACAGTGCTGGTCTCAGCGCAGAGCAACTGGGAGAGATGAAACCAGCTGAGAGGCCAGATGGCAAGAGGCCTGAGGGTCCCATCTGGCTCTATGGTCATGCGTCATGACTTGGTCTGTGGAAAGGGGCTGGGTGCATGTGTCAGGGGGAAGGAGCTGTAGTCCTCTGGGCAGAGCAGCAGGGACTCGCCTCCCAGCCATGCCTTGGGGCTGATACTCACTGGATGTGGTAAGAATGGACCAGAGACAAACTCCTGGAAGTCAGGCAGGGAAGAACGCGTGGGCTTGGTCTCCCCCTTTCCTAGGGGTGGAAGCCCAGAGGTAGGGCTGCCCTGTTTTCCAGTACAAAGAGCTAACCTTGGTGATGAGTGACATGGATGCTGTGGTGCATGGGAGTCCACATGGTTAAGTGCACTCACACTTGCATGGGGAAACATGAGATGGGGGCAGCTATGTGCGCAGTAGCCCAGGGAGCAGAGCGAGCGTGGGGCAAAGGGGCAGCCTTGCAGCTGTAGCAGGGTGGAGGGAGAGCAACGAGACTGCACAGGGCTTCCAGGCAGAAGCCCATGACCCCCCAGGCTCTGCCCTCTGGTCTGGATGTGGCACAGCCTGTGCAGGGCACAGTGCAGTCACGTGCCAGACAGTGTGCATGGCATCACTGCTGTCCCCATGTCGGATGCAGCAAGGCTGGTGGTCATGGCTGACATGACTGTTCCTCTGGGAGCTGCTTGGAGATCTGGCCTTTTCTGGCATTCGGCCCCAGGCTCTAGGGCTGAACAGGGCTCTGTCTGTCTGCAGACCATGCAGAAATCCTGGATCCAGGAGTTCCTGTGCACTGGTTTTGTCAGTCCTGAGCGAGTTCAGCCTCCATAAGCCAGCAAAGCCACAGCTTGGAGCAAAGTTCATGCGCTCAGGGTCCTCCCTGCCACGTGACCTCAGCTGGGCGCAAGCACTGAACAGCTCTGTTGTGCGCATGGCTCAGTGGTGACCTCATGCTCCCTCACAGCCAGAGTGAGACCCTGGGGGAGCTCATCCTGACGGTCAGGCAGTGTCTGGCTCAGGCGCTTGCCCACCCACCCCTGGCCACCTGCTGCAGCTGGAGAGAG